TCTTTGTAAACTCTTAAGAATTTAGATTGTAAAAGTTGAAATCCTATGAAAACTTCATATTGAACAATATAATATATGAAATTCTAATGAGAATTATTTAACTGATAAATGTTAATCCCTAAAATCCCTAGATCATTAGATTAGTAAGTAAAAACAGGACTCTAATTACTGATAACAAAGGATTTTGATTTTTAATACATCTATTTTGCCATAAATGAATCTTGGCTTTTTCAAAGGTGAAATGGTAATCACAAATAAGGAACTTTATATTTGAAATATCATAAAAAATTTTGGATGTGATTGTACTTGTGGTTTTTATAGTTTTTTATTTTTCATCAAATGGTTTAACTTTGTATTAGATATCAGTCGCTGATCTTCCAGGCTTAATAGAAGGAGCACATATGAACAAAGGAATGGGCCACAAATTCCTGAAGCATATAGAAAGAACTAAACAACTACTTTTTGTTGTAAGTCATATGCATACCAATTTAATGTTCAAATGAATATGAAAATCAATGAATTTCATTTTCTTAGAAATTTTTTATAATGACAAGATTTAAAGTTAAAGTAGTAGCGTATATTACTCTGTTAACTCAGTTCATATGGGGGTCACACACAGTAATTTTTGTTTACACTGTGGAGATGACGTGGTTGAAGTTTGCTACATCAGATGTAACTTTGACTGTACTTGCCGAGATTTAATTTGTTAAGATTTCTAATATACTATATTATATACTATCCATTTCCTACTTCACTGATGGTACTAAAGTTATATATGAGATTGTCTATATCAGTGTAAATTGTTTCATCTTTACTAATTTCTCATTTTATGAATGACTGTCATTTTACCAGAATAATTATAATCATCCTGACAACTCAATTTTTCTTATTTATTTTGAATTTCTGTAATTACCAGTAGAGTATAGATTGAGGAATTATTTTTAGTTTTAGGGGCTAAAACATTTCAACCACAGAAATGTATAGTTGTGTTTCTTATGTTAAAGACTGTCTTTTTCTCTGTTTTTTAGGTTGATATTTCTGGTTTTCAGCTTTCTTCCCAAACTCAATACAGAACTGCCTTCGAAACCATAATACTGCTTACAAAAGTAGGTTTTCTGCTGTGCTCTGTTTTCTAATATGTAAGCATGTAGGACCATAGGAAATAATGTAACAATAATTAAAATAATTACATACCTCACCTCTGCTTTTTACAGATTTGATGGCAGTTAAAGAATTATCTGTACTTGCTGTCTCTAGTTTTCAGCATCTGTACATCATTGAATCTATAAAGCCCTCCTTGATTCCAAATCCCTATTAGATATTTCTCAGACTTTTTCTTGCTTGAACTCTAAAGTATTTGACAAAATGACTGTCTCTTCACTTGAAACATTCTGCATTCTTGGCCTCATGAACCATAGTCTCCTAGCTTTATTCCTACTTCTGAGGCTGTTTCTCAGCTTACTTTTTAGGTTTTTATCTGTTCATCCTTCAAGTATCATTCTTCAGAGTTCCACCCTAAACCTCTTGTATAA